TCTCCCTCTCCCTCTCCCTCTTTCCCTCCCCCCCACTACATTCTACTTGCTATCACTTAAGTGCTGACTATTCATTCCCCCCCATGGCCCAAAGACACAACAATTACATGAAAGAGACACAGCCCCTGAATAAACTCAGGCACATAAAACAATGCAAACTCTTATGCCAACCACATGCCTGACACACTGCAGGACCTCAATAAATACACGGTTGTAGAAAACGGTATTGGCAGGGCTTGTGCACAACTACATCACTGCTCCCTGTCATTTCTTCAAACTAGTAATCCTCCTGCCTCACCTCTGGAGTGCTGGGAATAAGAGCATATGTTGGGGAATCCTGCTGCTAGGGTTGTAGTCCTCCATGTCTGGATAGCTCTAAGGGGCTCAGTGCTATATGGAAGGACTCCCCTTCTCAGCAGGGGGCCTCCTGCTCTCTGCCTGACTTACCTGGAAAGTGCCGCCAAGCACGGATGCCTGACCTTATTTGGAACATGACCTTTGGCATAGTTACCTGGAGTAAAAACTACCCCCAGGTTTTTTCTATATGATAATAGTCAGATGATAGGAGCCCACTGCCACATGTAAATGAGGCATACTATGAGCACCTATCTGCTGAAGCATTGGCTACTGCCTCCACACTCTATTTTCCTTAACCCCCACTGAATAAATGGAGCTGTTTCACTGAGTCTGGAGCTGTTTATATCACTGAACCTGCCTCCCCAGAAGGGCTTTCTTCCATCAGTGCTCACTGGCCATCCTGACCCCGTTCGTCGCTTCTGCTCCCTTTGTCCTCATGGAACGGTGGCCAACAACCCACGAGGGAAGGGAGAGACCCCACAAGCATACACTACCATGTGGTGCTTGCTGTTGTCATTCAATAACACACATCAAGAAGCCCTCTTCATGGATACCTGGGCTCTCTTGTCCCTAGCATATCAATATACACATACAATTGGATATTCATTCTATACTTTGGTTTCATTTTATATTTTAAGAATGCTTACTTTGTTAATTATTTTAACTTTAAATATATAGGAAAAAAACAAAAAAAAATAATAAATAGGAACTAAAACCAAAAAAAAAAAAAGTAAAAGGCCACCTTCCAGATTTCCTACCACACCATCATTTAAGGAACTGCTATTAAGCATCTTCTACACAGGACTGTGGGATATTGTTGGGATGGACCTGACCATGTTGTCTTTAGGGGAGGATCATGGAAGCATTTGGAACTTTGGACTGGAAGTGCTTAGAGCTTCATGAGCTATTCTATGGGAGCTTAGAAGATATGAATGTGAGGGAAATGCAGAGAAGGGGGCTGAGCGGTCAGGCTGCAGATCCAGTGATGAAAAGTAGGTGCTGACCTGGCTCTCATGGAGCCCATCAATGCTGTAGGGCTTTGTGGTGTTTAACTTTCCAGAATATTTTATACTCATGCCCAACGATTCTCATTCGCTAATTCACTAATGCTCTTAAAGTGACAGAAATATAACATAGCAGCTAAACCCAGAGCTAGCCTCACTAAAAACTGAAGCAGTGGTTTTCAGCCTTGACTGTGAATCAGAATTACCTAAGGAGCTGATTTTTTGTTAATGTTCCATCTTACACAGCACCTACTGTAGTGGGTATTTTACATGTGATTAATGTTTCTCCTACTGCATTACAAGCTCCACAGAGCAGGGCTGTTATCTGTCTTGATTATTGTATCTGGAATGCTTAGCAGTAGGCATGTAATCGAAATACCTATCAAATGAAGGAACTGATGTGCAAGGATCCAAAGCATAGGTGATCTTCCTTCCCACCCCCACTCTAACCCTGGTTCTGCCCAGGTTTTCTGGAACCTCCCAGCAAGTACGGAAGAGATTGGAATTTCCCTCTTCTTCCGTTTTCCTTTTGATTCATTAGCAATCTTTCTTTATTCCCGTTGTTAAATGCCAGGTGGTTCCTCTGCCATTCCTGAGCTCCAACAACCTTTCTAAAATACAAAAGTAACGGCTTCTTAAATCTGTACTCAAGTTGCAGCCCAAAGCAATTCTGAAGTCTTTCTAGAGTTGACCTCTACTAATCCCACCTCTCCCTCCCCTATCTGCCACAGATGTCAGGTCATCGCACTAGCAGTCACTTTAGACATGTCCTCCCTCTGCCTGGGCTCCTTCCCCTAACTCATATCCAAACCATATAACACGTTTCAACATCTTTACTGGTTCTGACCTACCCTCGGACTCTGACTTTGGTGATTTCAGATCAATGGTGAGCCTCTTTGATCCTTAGCTTCTTTCGTAGAATGGCAGCTGTGTACCAGAAGAGATCATCTGTAGCTCATAAAGCTCCCCACCCCCGAAAGCCATATCTAAGCCAATTATATCTGAACATCTACAGTGGCACCAGGCATTGAACTGGCTCAATCGAGATGACCTCAAAGAGGGCAATATCTTTTGCTTTCTCTAAACCGCTGTTTTATTATTTGGATGTTTAATTCTTACTCGCAGAGAACTTGCCCATGAGTTAAAAATTTAGCTTATAGCTCTTACTCATTCACCTGTGACTTGAAAAAAATCGCTTAAATTTTCTAATATATATAGCTTAAAAAGTAGAGACATTTAAGAAGCCAGCTTCCTAGAAGGAAGTTGTAAGAATACCACATTTCTAAGATGACGACAAACTCTTGAGTTGTGTAAGTAGTCTTGTTGTCTGTGGTGACAGGTTATAGTTTCTATTTGTGTTGTCTGACCAGAAATGCTGCAATCCAAGGAAACAGAAGATCCACAGATGGAGTAGGAGAAGGCAAGGAAGAACTGGGAAGTTGGGATGTGATTATACGTATTTCTATTTATTCATCTTCTACCTCTGTCTCCTGAAGGCAAAACAGTAATACTCCAGCAGCAAAAAATACACTTAGCAGGTAGCTCTTGGCTTCTAAATCCCATCCTCCACAGAAAGGACTACAGGCTCCTTAGAGAAAGCTATGAGCTAGAGTGTAAACTGCTTAGGAAATGTCTAGAACATCCCAGGGAGCCATCAAGGAGGAAAGCTCTCTTCTTTTCACTTGATGGAATTGAAGGAAAAAGACACAGAATCCAAAGGTACTTTTAGGACAAAGTAAATAATGCCAGAAATGGATGACAACCAATTGAACCAAAAATACCCATTAGTTTATCCTGATAGAGACAAGTGACATAAATGATAGGTAAGTGGATAGGTGATTGAGGGATGGATAGGGTTAGATAGATGAAAGGTGATGATGATGATAGATAGATAGATAGATAGATAGATAGATAGATAGATAGATAGATGATAGATAGATAGATAGATGATAGATAGAGAGATGATAGATGAGTCTTTGTAGTAAATGGCAGTTCATCAATATAGTGAGTAAGGACAGGAAGATTTGAAAATCACAATCTTCAGACATCAAGGTAATAATTATTTCAGGAAAAAAA